ACTAAAGAAGAAAAATCAGAGCATATCAACTACATTAAAGATGAGTTTTGTTTCATATGTATAGATGTATTATAAGATGTATTTCTTTCTGTAGGTCATAGTTAAAAGATCTAAAAACACTCATTTAACATAACAGGTAAGGATTTCACTATTTCATTAGATTTATAACCATATGGAAATTGGTGACCCTTAACTTTGACAGCATAACAGTATTTAGGTATCATTCTGTTATGTGTGGGAAAACTCTAGAAACTACCTATTTAGGTGTAGAGAGATACATTTTAGTTGTGAGGCCTTCACTTCAAATATATATCAGAAATCTTATGCTAAAAGCAGAAAGGCTGCATGTCAACAATTCCTGAGTACTCTTGCTGACACATTCCTAATTCCGAAATCTGAGAAGTGGTAAGTCTTTGAATCATAAAATCTGGATTTGAAAGAGACCTGAGGTTTCATTCATCCTATTACCAGCTGAATTGTGTCTCCTAAAAACTCAACAGTTGAAGCCCTAACCCCTAGGACCTCAGAAAGTAACCAAGGAGACAGGGCCTTTAGAGAGGTAATTAAGTTAAAATGGGGTCATTAGGGTGGGCCCTAATCCAAAACTGACTGGAGCCTTTACAAGAAGAGGAGATTAAGACACAGACAACACAGAGAGGTGGCCATCTGCAAATCAAGGAAAGGCCTCAGAAGAAACCAACCTGCTGACATCTTGATCTTGGGACTTCTAGCTTCCAGAACTGTGAGGAAATAAATTTCTATTGTTTAAGCCACCCAGTTTGTGGTATTTTGTTATGGCAGCCCTGGTAAACTAAAACACATCCCTGATATACGCTAAATAAACCACCTATGCTTAGATTACCTAAATAGTCTCATGCTAATTTATGCAAAGTTAGAACCAGAACATAGATGAAAACTTGTTAGCAATATAAAAATGGGTCAGTTATAGGAAAATGGCAAGAACACCAGTAGCCATCAGTCCTAGAAATCATAAAAGTAAAAAAGAGCAAAAAAGTAGGCTCATATAAGGAGAGCAAGTTTCAAAAAACCAGACTCATGAGATAGGCATGAAAGCAATGTCAGATATCTTAGAAGAGGCACAATTCAAAAGAGAAAGCAAGAAAGCTCATCTAAAAAGTTCAGTTCTAGCCACGTAACTTCAAAAGTTCAAAAGAAGAGAAAAAGGAAAGGTACCAAACAAACCAAAGTGGCAACATAGGGAGCTGTCTAACGTGGTTTTGAAAAGGACATTTGTGGAAATAAGAGAAGTAGTCTATCATCCAGTCAGAAAGACTAAAGATAGAGGATAATGATATATGCAAAAAATACTAGGAGGAAAAAACTTCCTGTAAAAAGAATAAGCTTCAAACTTTGAGCTGATGATTGACTATAAATAAATGACAAAGTGGGCAGCACTGGAAGACTCAACTCCTATTCACTTTCATCAGGAATAATTTTCAGTCTCTATAGAAGACAGGTAATGCTATCAAGACAATATCTAGCTACTTTGGGACAGAATGATATAGGAGAATGAGCACAGGTATCACAGTCAAATGTACATAGGTTTAAATCCCCAGTACTGTTGCTTACCAGAGGGGCAGCAGTGCAAAGTGGTTAAGAGTGTAAGCTCTGAAACCAGTACCTGGGTTTCAATTCATGTTGCCACTTAAAGCTAAGTAACACTGCACAAGTTATTTAACCTCCCTGTGTGTGTCTCAGTTTCCTCATTTGTAATATGGAGATCATGGCACCCACTTCATATGGTTTATAAGGCTTAAAGAAGTTATTGCACTTAAAGCACAGTGAAAACAGTGCACAGCACATAATAATTGCTCAATAACTGTTATTGTTTATTTGTTCTTTTTTATTCTGGGCAAGGTATTTATTGTAATTGTTGTTATTATTACTGACACTGTACAGGTTTCCTAAATTTACTAAGCCTCAGTTTTTCTCTTCTAAATAATATTAAAAGATGGTTTAAGGATTAAGGAGATACTGGGTATAAAACACCTAATAGATACTCAATAAACAGTAGCTGCCAACTCCTATTCAAATTTTGAAAAGGACAACGATGCTATATTTAAGATACTAAACATGATCAAGTATTTTATAGATACTCAAGTAAAATTTTAGACTATCAAAGAGATGGTGTAATGACAATGTAGATAAGAAAGAAATGACAATTAGAAGCCAGTATAAACTCATTGGCAATAATACACAAAAAGCTAACCTTTTCATTTACTTCTAGCATAGGGTTAGTAGACTGAGAAGAAAACAGTGTACTCTGATTTTGATAAAGCATTCAAATACTAATTTTCATAATAATTTATAGACTATAATATAGAAATCTGGGATGAATGACAGTACAATTAAATGAATTTGTAGCGGGGCAGCTGGTTAGCTCAGTTGGTTAGAGGGCAGAGCTCATAAAACCAACGTTGCCAGTTTGATCCCCATGCCCTTCACAACTAGATTGAAACAACTACTTGACTTGGAGCTATGGGTCCTGGAAAAACACAGTTCCCCAATAAGAAAATAAAAAACAAATTTAATTAAAAAAATAAATTTGTAGGAAAAACTTTGCCCCAAAATATTCATGAATAAAACACTAGCTTGCAAACAGGTTTTTCAGGGCCCTATACTATTTAATTAACATCTTTGAGTAAGCAGGCGTTAATGACAAATCCTAGATGCTGGTTTTTTTTTAAAAAAAGAGAAGAAACTCAACAGCAAATTCTACAGAAAAACCCTGAGTGTTTTAGTTGACATGGGCAAAAATTTGCTGACCAACAAAGATACCTAACTACTAAAGGAGAGAAAAAAACATGATATGATACAATATGATATAATATAATGCTACATTAATAGAAGAATGCCCAGATCAAAGGAAGAAACTATGAAGAGAAGTCAGAAGACATAGGAAAAACCTATCTTCACTTCTGGTTGTTACTTTTCATGAACAGAAAAAGGTGACCAAGATGTTGATCTATATCATATACCGTGATATAATCAAAACTAGAAAATTTTTAGCCTAGTGATTGAGGTTTTGCATTTGAACATGCAAAAAAGAACATATAAGAACGTAAAGGATAGGTTCATCTTTCCTCAAGATGAGGAATTTTACAACATTTAAAGTTGTTCAGAGAATGACTGACAAATACTAACATTCCCATCAACAGAGACTGATGACAACCAATTAGGAATTTACAGATTCAGAATTCATGTTTCTGGAAGAAATCTGATCTTTGTTATATGATAATACTAGAATACTCCTGCTTTTCCAAAATAAATAAGTATATATATACACACACACATAAGTTAACGTAAATTAACTCAAAGAAACTTTTAAAAACTGTATTTAAAATTAACAAAGGAAATTTTGCTTATATTGTTAGATAAACACAATAAAACCATCAAAACAAAAAGACAATCTCTACAAACACAGAATACTTCTAAATCTTGGGCAATGATTCACAATAAGTAGGTTTTGTTAGTTATATATGACAGCTAAATCTATCACCATGAATAAGTCACCACAGTGATTTACTTATCAAAGTGATAAACTTACATTATAATGAAAATTTTATCATATATAATAATCCCAATAGTAAACAGTGATTAAAAAATCTATATACAATGCATGTTAATAACACTATCCATTTATAGAGTGCATTAAAATTTCTCAAACTCCCTTTCCATCTGTTTGCCATCTACTCAAAAACAACTCTGAGGCTGACAAAGCGGTTGGTATTAATCCCATTTTACTGTCTTCCTGAGGTTCAGAGGGGGAAATGACTTTCTTCAGATCACTCAAGTCAGTCCAAAATATGAATCTGGAGCATATGACTTGTGGTCAGCATACACTCTTTCTTTTTTTTTTTAAAGATTTTATCGGGGAACTGGGGGGAGAAAAACAGCATTGGGGAAGGGGAACAGACAAGTTGCTGTCCTTTTGTTCTTCAGTCTAGTTGTGGAGGACGTCACTTCACTGGCCCATGTTGGTTGTGCTCTTCCTGGGTGAGGCAGATCGGCTGCCAGCCACTGGATGGACACTCACACCAGCTGCCGGCTGCTCACGGTGGCTGCCGGCCATTCATGGTAGCTTATGGCAACCCACTGCACCAGGGGCTACAGCCCACACCATCGCCGGCGACTCAAGGCAGCCCAGCTCCAGGTCAAGCTATTGTTCACTATCTTAGCAGTAGAGGGCGCAGCGTCACTGGTCCTCATGTGGGATCCGAACCAGGTACCTGCTGCTCAGAGCTGGCATCCCAACACAACTCTTAACCAACGCGCCACAAGGCCAGTCCCATTCTTTCTTTAATACCTTTGTTTTCTCTTTAATGAAATAATACATTTTAATTGCACAAATGTTAGAATTCAGAGAGGTAAGAGAAATCATCTCCCCAATTAAAACAATGTTTTAATAATATTAAGGAGAAACCTCCTTTTATTTGAAATGAAAAAAAAATGTGGGTAAAAGAAAACTCAAGTAAAATTCAAGTAAAAGAAATTTTTCTCTTACTTCCCATAAAACTGTGCTTAAAACAGAAGGCAAAGAGGATCTGTTAAGTACACTAAATAGTGTTTCCTTAAACAGCCATTAAATACCAAAGGTGCCAAAAAAAAATGTACACATATTTTAAGAGATGTTATCTATGCTCAAGCAGCAGTTTGCTGTAATCAGAAGTGTCTGGACGCTGTTGGTAACCACTTTGAGCACCTCTTGTAATTGCAGAAGTCAAACATGACTTGTATTCATCTTTTGTTATTGGTATATACTGAGTATTAAAATTAATACAGTTTTTTCCTTTCTTAAAATGTGTATACATATTTTTGGCACCCTCTGTAGTTTGCATGTTAATACTCTTAAAATAACACCAAATGTAGACACGTTCCCTTAAAGTGAGTTCTAGCAATATCAGAATTCTCATCTTTACATGCTTAATAAAACCCTAAACTTCAATTTTAATGATATAAGTACAAGGTAAAACCATTACCTTGGGTGTGCTTCCTTTAATGAATTTTTTAATCGAAGACAACAAGCCGGTTTCATTCTTCGGTGGTTTTTCTCCTCCTGAAGGCAAGCTATCATCAACCTCTGAATATTTCCTCTTTGCTCTGGCAGTGCGTTGTGTTTGGATTTGATTTGATTGCTGAGAAGCTTTCCGTGTTCTCAGCCTCATCTTTTATAGGTGCCACATGTAAAACTATAAGAGATAAATAAAAAGGGTTATTTATTAAAATTAAACCTAGCATATCCATATTTTCCCAGCTTATAAAATAAAACTCTCTTCATTAAAAAGAAGTCCAGGTCTCTAAGGGATTGAAATGAGAAACTAAAAATTTAAGTGAAAGGCACTGTGCTTTGAACCTCATAGTATACATCATCACAAATAACCTTCCCAACAACTTCTGAAATATCATCTTATGATCGAACACTAAAGAGTGTGTGTCCTTTTTCCATGTCACCCTGCTGCCTCCACCTATGCAGACATTAGCATTCATTTACTCATTCATTCAATAAATATTTATTAAGCAGTGACCACATTTGAGGCTCTGGGCAGCTAGTAAATAGTAAACAAGACAGGGAAAGTTTTCTGCCCTCTGAAGCTCACAATGTAGTATTAATAGAAAAAACCCTCAATCAGTAAATGAATTAGTTCTATGAACACAATTCCTATACTCAATAATCATGTAAGTATAACAAGAGAAGCTGGATCATTTTGTGGAATTCGATCTTACCATACATAATGATACTTTAAAAAATGAATTCATAGCAGAAAGAAAATATAAGGCAATCTACTTGAACGCTCTCATTTTATGGATGAGAATAACAGTGGATGGCAAAACTGTCCCAAGACTTAAAGGTAGTTAAGAACACACCCTGAATTAGAATCTGTGAAACAGAACACAAAACTACTAAACTAAGAATTAAGACATGTGAATTCTAATCCTACCTCAATCATAGCTAAGCTACAGTCACAACTGTTTTTTCACCTGCATAAATACATTCACCTTATCATCTTGAGGCTCAAAATGAAAAGGAATAATAAAGCTACTCACAACAGTGAATACATTCACAGAAAGTCTAACTCCACTTAAGAACTCTAAATTCCTGGGTCCGGCCGAGTGGCGCGATGGTTAAGAACTGGCTTGGGATGCCAGAGGGCCCTGGTTCGGATCCCACATATCAGGGTCAGTGACACTGCCCTCCACAGCTAAGATGCTGAACAACAGCTCAACCTGGAGCTGGGCTGCTGTGAGTCG